AAGGATTATCAAATCTTGACATAAGCTACCACAGTGATGAATGGTGAGGACATTATGCTAAGTGAAATAAGCCAGTCACAAAATGACTATCACTGTATGATTCCATTTATATAAAGCATCTCTAGAGCATTCAAATAGATAGAGACAGAAATTAGAATGGTAGTTGCCAGGAACTGGAGGGAGGAAAAAGTAAATTATGTGTAACTTTCAGTTATAAAAGACGAAAAAGTTCTGGAGATTGGTTGTAAAACACTGTGAATATACTTCATACTACTAAATTGTACACTTAAAAATGGTTAAGATGGCAGGCCCTTGAGTGACTCAGCAGGAAGACCGTGGGACTCTTGATTTCTGGGTTGTGAGTTCAAGCCACATACTGGGTTATAGAGATAAATAAATAAGCAAACAATGGTTAAGATGGTAAATTTGATATTATGTGTGTGGGGGGGGGAGTTACCACAATTTAAAAATTAGGAAAAAAGTTCATGGACTTAAAATTTACAAAATACCATTCACTACTCTTTCCGGTTCATACTCAGCATAGTAGCATGTTCCGGTATAATAATCTACTTTCTTTTGAAAAAAAAGTCGATAGGTCAGTAAATATAAAACTCCTGCTACTATATTTCTTGACAGACTAAGGGAAACAAAAAAAAAAACCCAGTGGGAATCAAGTTTTCATTACTTCACCTACATTCTAAAAAAAACCTGTATTTTGTACTACTTTAGTACTAAATAGATACTGCTTGGGTAAAAGGAAAAAAGTAATATTAGAACTCTATCTGAATTTGCTAAGTTCACAAATATTTATGCTGAAGAATAAAACTGATTAAAATTCTCCATAAGATTCATTCAATTTGATTTTGTCTAAATAGCTACCATATTTTAACAAGGTAAAACTTGGCATTGAAAATCCTTTAAAAAACTAAACACATGTTGTATCTCCTTTTAGGAACTGCTGAAGGATTGTCTTCATCAGATTTTCAATGGTTCTCAAAAGATCAGCATTATTTAAAACTCTGGTGAACACATGTGTCACATTTAGCTGCAATGATAAGCAACTTAATTAAGTGTTGCTATACTATCCAAGGAAAAGACTGACTAGAAAGAAGCTACACATCGTTCCATGATTGCAGAAATATCAGCAAATGGTACAGATTTTCACAATTAAATCTTTATAAGGACTATGCGCAAGGAAGTTTTACTAGGATATCCAAAGTGCTTGAAGAAAACATTCACCAAAATGCGGTTTTTCTCAGCTACTTTAACCTTACTTACACCCTACAAATTCTTAGTATCCTAATTACTAGTATCTCAAAGATGATTTGTAGATATACTTATTAAACTAACACAAGCAATACAGACATTAAAAATACCCTTGGGATTAGTTATGGAAAATCACGTATGTATGTGGGGGGAGTTGCTATGGGGGTATGTGATATATATACATATATATCCACATTTAGGTATTTAAGAAAATTATTCAGAAATGTATATAAATGTTTTTAAATGCTCTCTAAAAATACGCTGTCCCTTTCTTCTAGCTCAATCTCATTTCCTTTCAAGTACTAAAATTATATACAAGTATTTAGTACTATGGGCTCTACAGATCCTTGTAGAGTACGAAAGGGGAAGTATTATGTAAAAACACTGAGGTTACAGAATAAAAGTATTCCACAGAAAACAGGTAAACACAAAGTACTCTCACAAAGAAAATACAGGAACTATATTTAGTGTTAATTATTTGAGACATCCAAAATTCTTGATAATCTATCCTTTTTTTTAACAGAAAATGTGTAATATTTAAATCAGCAAAATAAAGACTTATGATGAAATATATCTCCGGGAAAGTGTTTTCTCATTAAATGCTTTACCCAATCATTTTCATTTGAAAATTATGGCTTTCTCAATTATTTTAATGCTAGTGTCGTTTTTATGTGCCAACTCGGGACATAAGCACTAACACTACTCCAGGCACCCTTGCTTACTCATCAAAATAACTGAGAAGCATTATCCCTCCCCCTTCTTGAATTAATAAATCCAAACATGCAAAAACATCCTATCTCCAAGCTCTTCTCTGGGTCAAAGTGGTAACAGCCCAGTAGGACCACCTTTAATCTCAAACATTTTACAAGCTTTACAGATAAGAACTTAAGCATTCTCTGGTGGAAGATGGCAACTGGGAAAAGGAGAATACAGATTTAAATTACAAATATCCTCAGCCTCTCCATGACAATCAGCTTCTCTAAAGAAGCATTGTAAGAAATATTTTTAATAGGTGGCAAGAGATAAATGTGTGCAAATACCTTATGAAATATGATGCAGAGAAACAGGAAATAGTTCTTCCATACACTGACACCCAGACAACCAAATAAGAGTAACCAAATAATGACAAGTTTCAAATTTGTCTTTGAACTCAAAGAAGCTTAGATCAAAACCTTCACCAATAGGCCTGTATAGCAGTACATATAACAAAGGAATATAAAAAGGAAAGAAGTCTATTTGACAGAAACAAACTGAGAAGTTCATGGCAAACCTACCTAAATTACAAATATTGCAAAATAAAACAGGAAAAGAAAAACTTAAAGATTTATGTGATAAGAAAATATGTATTTACTGAATTAAACAATGGAGGTGCAATTCTGTAGAACTAAAACAAAATGACTCTGAATTATGTATACTTACATGCTATAGGATTATACTCAACCCTTTCCAAAAATGTTTAGGTGCCGAATAGGTACCACTAAGCAAAGCATAAACGTTTCTAAAACAAGGGAACAATTCTGTTTCTTCCTATGTAAAGCAACCAAAAGCTGTAGTCGTGGGAAATTTTCCTGAAATGTGTCAAACTCATGAAAATTGTGGCTCACAGACCTTGGGAAAACAACAAAATGTACTCCTAAATGTATCTATCATCTGTGGCAATAATGTTTCTGCACTACAGCCTAAAAACTGAACTTGGGACTAATATTCCTTTGTTATGTATAACATTACACATTCACCAATATCTTTTATCTTCCCGGGCAGCAATCTCAAAAATTACAGTAGACTACCTTGCCTTATCTCATAGTGAACCATCATATGGGGGGGGGGAGGGGGGCACACAAAGAAAATTCAAACAGCCTCTTTTCCAAAAGTATGGAGTTCAAAAATAATAACGGTCTCTGGACCCCGGATTTAATTCAGAGCAAATTCAGAATTCTTCCTGCATAGATGCTTACTGTAGATGCTTCAACAGCTGAGAAACTTTAATGTACTCAGTTACTGCACTCCAATGAAAATCTTACCTTTCAGAATAACTATAAAATATGTTTAAAACAAACCCCGATAAAAAGTAAACTTCCTGATGTTTTTAGTAATGTGAAAATGAAGGCCACTAATCAACTAGTATGCAGAAGTCACTGCAGTAGTTGCACAATTGCCTGTGGGTAGCCTATCACAGAAACTGAGTGTGGTGAGGCAGGCTTTCCCCTTTTATAACCTGAGTGAACTTCAAGGGATTAAAACCAAATTCATGTCAATTCTACAGCACAAAATTCAGACTCTAATTCTGAATACAAAATACACTTTACGGGAAACAAATGAGGGCTTAAAACCAATACGATATGGTCAGTTTCACTTTTGTATTATGTGCATATTGTACTTTAATCTGAAATGCTTCATACTTGTATTTCATGTTATATAGGTTTTGGACTTGACGGTGTTTCTCCACAAAAAGAAAAAAACAACTGTTTTTCCACCTTAATATTCAACCTACCTGCCCATAGTTGTCTATGCCAGTTACTAATCTATTTAAATTTAATAAATCAAAAGCTGTCCTTAGGGATTGGCCAAGAGTCGTAAGTCCTTCAGCCTGAAGGTTTTTCAGTTCATTCATAAACGTTGCATGGTTTTCCTTCCATCCAGCCTGTAAAGAAAATGTAAGAATTTTTTTTTCATCCTTTAAAGCCATGTACACACGGACAGCCGTTACAATCTGCCAGTTTACCAAGGAGCTGCTTAACTTCACTTTACAGTATGGTTCGGTTAATGTGTTAATACCGTATCACTGCCAAGGAAACTCTTCAAAGGTGGCCGAGAATAAACCTGCTGGCTCTACAGCTTTTGGTGGCTAACAGCCTTAATACTTTGTAACTTCCCTGGGAAATTTACTCCCTAACCTACTACCCAAGATTTGGGCACGCAAAGGTACTCATGGAAAGCAGAAGTGAGCAGGACTTCTGAAGTTAACCTGCAGCGGTCCCACTGGCCCGGTGAGGAAGAACCCCCGCAGCCCCCCACCCCAAGCCCCGCAGCCCCCCCCCTCCCCAACCCGGCTCGCTCGCCAGCCAGGGCGAGCGCGGCCGAGCCCCGGGCCGAGTCCCCTTTAATGCAAACCCGGGCTCGGAGCGGCCGGGCCCGGCTGTCACTGGGGCTAACTTGAATAAATATCCCCCACAGTTCATTGCTGCCGCTCACGCCGCGGAGGGGAAATGTCGGCCATGTTGATCGCAGCGCCGCCGCCGCCGCCGGGCCGGGCTGGGGAGGGGACGGCGGTGGCCCAGCGACTCCGCGCCGCACCAGGACGCTCCGGAGCGGGGGAGGGGGTGGGAGCCCGCAGGGGAAAAGACCTCAGCGCCTGGAGCACAGCGGGTGGGGGAGGGGAGCATAATGAAGGGTGAATGGGGGGGCGGGGAGGGCGAGCGAGGAAGGAACAGGGAAGGGAAGGGGGAGGGCGAGGGCTGTTACCTTGATAGCATAGGGCGGCTCTTCGAAAGTGACCAGCATATACCTGTCTCCTCTGCTGGCAGGGTCCCGGGCACGGAGCTGCGGGAGAGCGGGTGGGGGACGGGAGAAGGAACAGGGCGGGCGAGAGGGAAGCACAGAGGCGAGGTTACGATGCGAAGGGGCGCCCAGCGGCCCCGCCGCCCCCCCCCCAACAGTACCGCACACGCAGCGGCCACCCCTCCACACCGCCCCCCACACACAGATCGGCCCCCACACACCGCCCGGAGCCCGGGCCCGGGCCGAGCCCGGCTCGCAGCGCCCGCCCGCCCGCCCGCGCGGTGGGGGAGGGGGTCCCCGAGCCCGGCAGCTCCCGCAGTCAGGTCCCCGACACCTCCGCCTCGCCGCCCCCGGCTACCCTCCCCTCCACCCCGGCCGCCCGCGGGCCGCCGAGCCCGGATCGCCGCCCGGGCTCGGTCAGTCGGTACCTTCATGAAGGTCTCTACCGCGCCTTTGGCCGTGTCCAGGTAGGTGGTGCCCAGATGGCTGCGCTGGTTCATAGAGGCAGACGTGTCTATCAGGAACAGTAAGATGGGCATAGTGCTGGCCGGGGACACCGGGGCCCGAGGTGGAGAAAGAGGAGATGGTAGAGGTGGAGGCGCCGGTGGCGGCGGCGGCGACCGCCGCTACGCGGGGCGGGGGAGCGCGGCCCCCGGGAGGAAAACACCGTCTGGGTCTTTCCTCCGGCTGCGGGGAGTTTCTCCCCCGATAGTTGAGAGGAAACTCCCCAGACCCAGTCCTCCCCGTCGTACCCCCGCCTCCGCCTCCTCCTGCCTGCCTGCCCGCTGGGGCGGGCGCCCGGCCGTCTGTCTGTCGGTCGGTCCGTCCCCCCCGCCTCGGGGGTCCCGTCCCCGCTCCCGGCCCCTGTGTGTGTCCCAGCGGGAGACGGGCCTGGCTCCCCACCCCACCCCCGGTGCAGGGAGTGGGGACCTGGGAGCTGGCGAAGAGGGGAGTGGGCTGAGGGGAGATTGGCCCTGGGGCTGTTGGGAGAAGTTTCAGGGACTCCCTCCGCACCCCGGCGGTGTCACCACTTTCTCAGCCCCTCTCGCTACTGAAGCGCTTTTCTCTCGCACACTCCGGTTTTAATTCGGGCAGGGTCTGCAGAGGCTCCGCCCCCTGACACGTCCTCGGGCCACGTGACGCGCCGCCCCGCTACCCTATTGGCTAATCTCAAGTCTCTTATTAGCATATTCAAACAGCTCAGGGGCGGGGAAAGCTTGTAGGCCGGCTCCGGGAACTGTTATTGAGCACGCGCGGAGGCGGGGCGTCGGGTGCGCGCGCGAGCGAGCGCGAGGGGCGAGCAGGCGGGCCAGCAGACGCGGAGGCGGGCTCCGGGAAGGGGCGGGGACCGACCGCGGAGAGACCGTGGGGTGGGGGAGGGGGCCGCGGCGGCGCGCGCGCGGGGCGGCCGCGGCTGTGAGTCTGCGCGTCAGTGCCGCTGGCCTCTCTTTGGCTGTTGGAGGTGATAGGGGTCGGCGGAAGGGAAATGGAGGCTGGCCTCAGCTCCCCTTGCGAGGTCGCGCTGTCAAACCCCTTCCCCGGGGTGTAAGTGAGGAGGGGATGTGTAAAGTAATCAAATACCCGGGTAGAAGGGGGTTGGCCCGCGCGGTCTTCCCTCCGTGGAGAACCCCGGGCCTGCGGTCGCCGTAGGAGGTTCCTTAGGCGTGGGAGGGCCGGCCCCTAGGCGGGCGGGCCCGGGGCGGGGGAGGGGAAGTGAGAGGTTGTTTATGACCAGGGACTAATCTCCGCCAGTCCCCCCGCTCCCGCCGGGGAGTGGGGATGAGAGGCCAGCTTTGCTCGCAGTCTCACTCGGCCTTGGGGAGCGACCTAGGGTGAGGGCCGGACTCGGAGCACACCGAGAGCTCTCGGCGGAAGACCCGACAAAAAGAGGGCTGACCTTCTGTTTTCCTAGCTCAGCCCTTAAAGGGCTTGGGGGAAGGCTCAAATATCGATAAAGCAGTTTGTTGCCCCTTTTATTCTCAGGAAAAAAGAAAAACCGACTCTGCCAAAAAGAAATAATAGCCTCTCTCCAGTCATGTTTTCTTAGGGCCAAAGAACGTCCATTTCAGAGCGAAAAGGGACCTCAGAACACCATACAACAGGAACTCGTTTTAAATGGAAAAACTGATTTCAGCTAGTCTAGGTGAACGAGCGGGTTCCTCATAATCCTGCCGGTGCTCTTCCCTTTCACCTCATGGGTCTCTACGATGAGTTCCAAACACTGTGTGCGGGAAGACGTTCTGGGGGTAACAGAAGCCCCCTAGTCACCCTGCCGGAAGTAACTGATCATTTCCTAAATGTCCGAGGAGCACTGTTCACTCAAATATACTCGTTGACAAGCTGAAGACCGTGCCTGTGTGTTAGAGACACACAATCCTTATAAAGACTGTAGATACCTTTAGGGCCTCTCCTGCCAGCCTAGGATTTCGATTTATTTTTTTACCCCGAAATTCTTAATTTGCCTGCTGATCATTTAATGAAATTGTTCCTATCAGCCTCAATACGAGAGGCCTGCTTGTAGCACTTTTTTTAAAATCTTGAGTTCCATAACTTGGACTTTTCCTAATACTTAGGACAACCTCTGAACTTCTTACTAATTTATAGTAGGGCTATTTCAGTCACGTGCTATTCTGTGCGTATGTAGGACAGAAGGGAGAGGTTTTTAAAAGACTTGGATTACAAAATAAGACAGAATGCAGGTCTTACAGCCAATATTTGCTGAGGACCAGTGGAGTTTTAAAATGATTAAAATGTGGACGCTGCCTTCAAAGAGCTTATGGTTGTTTAAGAAAAATACTACCTACATATTATTAGCCACTACAAGGCAGAGAGTGATTAGATACTAAATAATTCAGAAAAGAGAAAAATGTATTACCCTTGGGTGATGAACATTTTCCAGAGCTAGTATATTTAAGATGTTCCTTAAAGCCATGTTTCTCTAACGAGATCCTAGATCTGGAGTTAAAAATCCTTGGATACTTTAAAATGTATTCATTTTAATGACAATATGCAAATTGTTTTACCTGTTAAAAGGACAAAATTTTTCTTTCGAAGTGATGATTTGCAACTGAAAGATTTTCATAGAATTGGCCTTCAGTTTTCTGTATCCGTGCTTTTGAAGCTGGTCCATGGACCCCTGCCTATCCAAAAATGTATCCTCTAGAATGACAGGAATTTCCTTTGCATTACTCAGGTTTGAGAAACACTGCTTCAAAAAATTGGTAGGATTTGAATATGTGGGTGAAGCAAGAGGAAGCTGCTGATGAAAAAGTCCTTTTGGACATTGAAAATGTAATGAAGCAAGAAAGCTAGCACAGCATTGCCAGAGGCTTCCTGGGGAACGCTGAAGTTCAGCTAGGCTGGAACACTAGTTATGTGAAGAATAGTATTAAGAACCAGAAAGATAGGTCAGATCTAGACAATAGAGGGCCTTTATTCCAGACTAAAGATTTTTTTTCCCATATAAATTACAGTTTTTAGTTGGGGTACTAAGTGCAAAGCAGTGTTTGAAGGGAATCAAACTTGACTACTGAAGTACATGAGCATGCATTAATAATGACCTTCCCTGTTACAGTTATTTGAAATCATTTCCAATGGAGACATCATGGCTCTTTCTTCCCTGACTCTGGAGTTGGCAGATTGTCATAAGTGGAGGTGTATGGTAGAGACAGTGTTAGATGCAAAGATCAGGAGAGCCAAGTCCAGTGAGCCAACCTGGAGCTTAGAACCAGAACCTGTGCTTACCATGGCTTCTGAGATCAAAGACCAGGTTTCCAGTTCAGAAGCCCAGAAGTGCTGGAAGGCAAGGCCAGAGGAAGAACAAGAAAGAAATCAGGACACACATAGGCAGAAAATCAAGAGGCAATCAGAAACCAGGAAGCATTGACGAGTGGTCCCTAGACAAAATTGTGAAATAGGCCAAGTTTATTCTTAGTGACTCTGGTTGACAATTAAGCTACTGGTTGATGATGGCTTAAAGCAATGGTTTGGGGCCAGGAGGCACATATCAGCATTGTCCACAGAGTTAAAACTGCACCAAATCCCCATCCCCAGAGGAAAGTGAGTCAGTAAAATTGGGACAGGCCCTGGTCATCTCATTTTTTATAAACCTTTTTAGGTGAATCTTATAAATAATGCTGATTAAGAACTGTATGCTTAAAGTATAAAAATAATGTATATGTCTACATCTAGTAGTACTCAATAAATAACTTTAAAAATTCACATACCCTTAGAGTTATTACATTTCTTAAAAGAACTTCTAAAATAAATCTGCAAACTAAAGGGGCAAAAAACTATAAATGTGACATTAGTATAGCTAACAGTGGATTTGTTATCATATGCTTCTTTAAATTTCAGGAATTCAACCATGTTTGACAAAAATATAAAAAGAGAAAACTAAATAGTACCAGAGATTTCCACTGTCCCCTGTCTTGAGTTTAGGCCTCAGAATAAGCATGTGATGGGAAATAGGAATCTCTTCTTCACTCAGTCTCTGCGATTCTAGAACAATTCTGGTTATATGCAGGCTTATTTATCTAAAACATGGCCCCTAAATATAAGCCAACTATTTCATCAGACTCAACTGAAAAAACAGTGAGCTCTTGCAATGCTAGAGGGAGAATGAGTTGGGAGTATATGCACTAAACCCCATGCTGTCACAGTCTAGGGGATGAGGAAGATTTCTCTGGGAGATCACTGGTCAGAAGAGGTATGTGGGAGAAAATTCGCTCTTTGTTGCTGTTTTTAAAGGAATGCTGCCTAAATGCTAGGGCTCCAATTTAAAAGGGAAAGAATAAATTATATAAAAGCCTCTGAAGGAGTGGGGACCCTGGCTTCAACAATAGCCTAAATTGTCGAAATAGGGCTATTTTAACAATTAAGAACTGATGAATTAGATTCATTTGTAGGAGCCAACCACCACCCTGCTAAATAATTTTAAACCAATTAAGCAGGATAACACAGTTTAAAAATAATTATGTGCCAAGGACTTGGCTTACGGTATCTGGATGTGCCATCTGAACAGAGTAATCAGATGAACCCAATGTTCCTCATGTGGAACCCAACAAAGTTTTTTTGGCTGTCTTACCATTTTCTCAGCTCTCTGCTTTACTCTTCAAGATCACAGTAGTCAATGATGTTGACAGGTTGAGAACATCAAACACACACACACACACATGCACACGGACAAACACCAAGAAGTAATAAGCTTAAAAATTAGATGTGAAACTAGACAGCAGAATGTATTTGGATATTAAATATATAAAGAGATTTAATTTTGGTCATCCTAATCAGTCCTCAAGGGAAAAAATGCTACTAAGGGACTACTTATTAAAAGGAAATTAAACCTTTCCAATAAGCAGTATTTCACAGTAATAGTTGAAGGCTCAGATGATTCAAGATCAGTTCTGGAAACAGACACAACCAAACAGAATTAGAATCAGTAAATTACTTTCTCCAAGTAAAAAGC